TATTGCACATACCAAAAAAACTCAAAAGTTTGAAGCGTGCAATTCAATGATATTTAGTATATTCACAGAGTTGTGCAGTCATCACCACTACCCAATTCTAGAACATTTTCATTACCCCACAAGAAACCCTGTACTCACTACCAGTCACTCACTGTTCTCCATGACCCCCCCAGCCCCGGGCAACCCCTCATCTACTTTCTGTCTCTGTAGATTTACCTATTTTGACATTTCTTATAAATGGAATTATCCAATATGTGCCTTTCTCTTTGGTTTCTTTCATGTAGCATATTTTTCAAGGGCCATGTATTGGTGCTTTATTCCTTTTACTGCTGAATAATACTCTATTTTATGAATGTACCACTTTTTAGATATATTCATCAGTTGATGAGCATTTGACTTATTTCCATTCTTTGGCTAGTATGAATAAAGATTCCATGTATATTTGTGTACAAGTTTTTGTGTGAACATCTGTTTTCGGTTCTCTTGGGTATAGGAGTAGAATTGTCCAGTGATTTCTTTTTTCTTTTTTTTTTCCTAAGATTTTATTTATTTATTTAGAGGGCGAGCATGAGTGGAGGGAGGGGGAGAGGGAGAGAGAGAATCCCAAGCAGACTCCATGCTGAGCACAGAGCCAGATGCAGGGCTTGATCTTGCCTGAGCCAAAATCAAGAGTTGGATACTTAACTGACTGAGCCATCCAGGCATCCCATCCAGTGATATCTTTTTAACTAATGTTTTACTATGATATTTCATGGAGAGGGGCAGGTAGACCACATAATATATACGAAATAAACATGCATCTATTTTTGTATTACTCCCATAAAGGCCAACAGAAGAATCACCAGGAATTTCCTGAATACGTTTACTGCATATTTTTTCCTCTTCTACTTACATGTAGTTCATATTATGTTTTTTTTTATAACCCCTCACTCAGGAGAGAAGCTGCTTTTCCCTTCGAGACATCATCTTCAGCTGGCCCCAGTGGCTCTTCATTCTGATGCTGGAAAGCATTTGGCTGGGCTTGACATTCTTCTTGCCTGTTCCTGGATGTCCTACGTAAGTGAGCCCACGGAGGTAATCCCTTTTTGCATGTCCTTTTCTGCCAAGTCAGAGCTTCTGGGGTGAGAGCTTGCAGATTTCCCGAGGGAGAGGAACTCGCTTTCACTCTTTGTTCTCCTTTGAGGCATTATGTGTATGGGTGAGGAGTTTGGTGTATGTTCAGAGGAATGTCTCCGTGAGGCTTTTTACGGGTCTGTTTGAAGGGAAGTTGGGCTTCATACCTTAGCTTGTGGGGAGTAGTCAAGTCAGAAGAGCATTGGTGAGGAGTGCATGGCGCCGAGGGGTCTCCGTGTTTGAGGCTCCTCGTTGGGCTGCAACAGTTGCCAGGATAAGCCTTATTCCCGCTGAAGTCTTGTCAATTAAGTACGTGTTTTCACTTCCCCAGTGGTTATCTCGGCCCTGGTGGCATTGGAGATTTGGGGAAGTATCCAAATTGTACCGGAGGAGCTGCTGGCTACATTGACCGCCTGCTTCTGGGTGATGACCACATTTACCAGCATCCTTCTTCGGCTGTGAGTGAGCCTCGCTTGCACTTTGAGCTAGACCCATGGGAGCTCTGACATGAAGGAAAACAGAAAGGGCTGGCCAACTGGAGACTCTGTCCATTTAACAAACTATGATGGGACCTAATTTTTATTTCAAAAGTTTGCTGATTTAGGAAATGTAATGTTTATTATGGGGCCGTGTGTATCCATTACTTTGGATTTGAAAGTGCAAATGCAGTGGATCAAGCATGTGGCGGCGTGCTTTTCCCTGTGGCTCAGGTCAGACTTCCTGGCCACAGACTCTGAGGCCGAGATTCATGTGCAGGAAGCTTATCAGGCCGTCCTTTTGGGATCAGCCCCTGCTGGGGATCAGAGGAAGCAGGAATGGGCAGAAAGGGTAGCTGGACTGACTGGTAGTCACACAAGGCCTTAGCTCATCTCCTGGGGGGCTAGACTGGTGCTTTAGAGTTGTTCTGAATTGGAGTGAGGGATCTGGCCATTGGATGCGGACTGCCCCCAGTAGGGGAGTGGGACTCCTGGAGAGGCAGCTCTCTTTAGTCAAGGACAGATCCAGAAAAGGGACTTGGCTGAGAGCTTTTGGCCATTAATATTTCTGCTAGCTCAGGGAATGAATACTTTCGTCCTGAGAGGGGTGGGCAGGGGGATATCTGAGTAATGCACTGTGGGATCCACCACTGTTGCCAAATTTCTGCAGTTTCTACATGAACGTTTGTTTTATAATAAAATAATACAGATATATTTTTAAATGTTATTTGCCGTAAAGGAAGTTAGAAAGGAACAGCATTTTTTTTGTTTTTGTTTTTAAGATTTTATTTATTTATTTAAGAGAGAGAGAGCAATCGAGAGAGCACAAGCAGGAGGAGGGGCAGAGGGAGAGGGAGAAGCAGGCTCTTGCTGAGCAGGGAGCCTAACACAGGGCTCGATCCCAAGACCCTGATATCATGACCTGAGCTGAAGGCAGATACCTAACCAACTGAGCCACCCAGGTGTCCCAGGAACAGCTTTTTGATGTTACAGTAGGGTTGACCAACCTGACAGTTATGAAGGTATTATGCACAGTGTTGGAACCGGTTAGGGATGCCTCAAATCACTGGCCCCTGAAGTTGAAGTGGCTGCTCTGGGTCATGGCTCATCCCTGGGCTCTGTGTCCCCTTCTGGTATCACACACCCCACACTTTGTTGATTAGAAGTATTCTGCCTGTAATCCCCACAAGTTGTCCATGAATTTCTGCAGCAAAAATGAAAAATATTGAATTCTGGAGTGTATTCAGGTTTGTATTTGATCTCCAAATTGTTTGCATGCATTTCGTGGTCAGTGAGTTCTGCCTTCTTTTTCTGTTTTGTTAAGGTGCTTTATCACACTGAGGTGGCCTATGATCCAGAGGGAATTTTAGGGACCATCAACTCCATTGTGATGGCATTTTTAGGAATTCAGGTATTCGTTCATTTCATTAGGGTGTACATTTTTCTGACAGTTCATGATTATTCATTCATCACTAATTCAAAAACTATTTCATTAAAACAAGTAATTGGAAACATGCCTTCTGTGGTCTAGTAAATTCTGTTACATGTGACAGATTGTCAGAACTAGATATTGCTAAAATTCAGCACATGGAAATAATTAGGTATAATTCCTATATCTTCCCCCCGCCCCAAATTCTCCTTGTTTATATGGCTTATTTTAGCAATGGAGACAGAGTAGTTTCTGGGGAAAAGTTCTCCCTGCTGGAGTGTGCAGAATGTTTGTGTACTGGTGGTGTTGGGAAGTCCCTGTGTCCCCTGTTGTCACATTTATTTCTTTGTGCACACTCTGTATGGTTTCAGGTTATGCATATTGTATGCCAAAGTCAATACAGGTTGTTCTTGGTTTATCTCACAGGAAATTTTGTTAAAATTCTGAGCAGTCTAGATATTTTTTCCCTCTAAAGTTCTCCTTATTGGTGTTTGAAACTACTATTTGAGCAGAGCTAACTGGGGGGAGGGAAAAGCATGTAAAGCAGCTGATGGAAGGCTCTGATGAAAATATTCATGTCCATGTGGCTTTTGAGTACCTGAAATGTGGTTAGTATGACCAAGGAATGAAATTTTAAATTTCATTTCATTTTAATTAATTTAAATTTAATTTCAAATAGTCTCTGGTGGCTAGTGGCCACCATATTGGGTAGTGCAGGTCTAAGGCATGTAAGTTTTGGCGATTCATATTTAGAAATTCTGTTCTATACTCACCTCTGTAGCACTTTATAGTTCACAGTGGGTGCTTTCACATATATTCATTTAATCTCTGCATCTGCAGATCTGCAGGTGTGAATCTGCGCCACAAGAGCAGCCTGGGGTAGGGTTAGGAGGGCAGACCTGAGGCCACACTGGATGGGCTTGAACCCTGCTCTACCACTTTCCAGCTGGGTAGCCTCGCGCATGTTCATCCCTCTGTGCTCCGGTAGCACCTACTTCAGGAAGGTGTGGAGAGGATTGAATGAGTTAATTCATGTAAAATTCTAAGAACTGGCACATAGAAAACATTCATAAATTTTAGCTTTAGTTACAAATTATTATGAACATTTTCTTATTCTTTGATGTTTTTCAGAAATTAATTCCTAATTTCAGGGGATTTTAGGCAAAGTCCAGATTGTACTGTTTCTGCCTCCCCCACCCTGTCCCGGTCCCTCTTCTGTACTGCTGCCAGACCAGGCCGTCCAGCAGGCCAGTCTGAGCTGGTCCCTTCTTACTGTTTTTTTGGGGTGGGGGAGAAGTGACTTTCCTCAGCTCCTTCCCTCGCATGGGAGAAAGCCCGTGCCTCACCAGTGAGACCCGCAAACCTACCTGCCTCCCACCTTCCTGCCCTTCCCAACCCTCTAGCCTGTCTCACTGACCTGCAGCTCAGGGACGCATGCTCTTTCAGCCATTTGACCTGTTTCTGTGCATGCTGTTCCATTCTGCCCAGATGCCCTTCCTGCCCGTAGCCTCAACCGGACGGCACTTCCTCCCTGGCGTCTCGTACCATCCTCCCGAGGAGTTCCCCGTGCCTCGGTGGCCAGCCGTCAAGGGCAGGGTGACGTTCCATTCCTCTCGGTAATCCCCGCATCTAGCAGCTTGCCTGGCAGATGAGTCTGTCTGTTGAATGATTAGGACAGTGGATGAACACAAAACACGAATATACTTTAAGCAGTTCTCTTGGTCATCTGTGTTTTCTTCTCCAGGCAGGAAAAATACTCTTATATTACAAGGATCAGACCAAAGACATTCTGATCAGGTTCACTGCCTGGTGTTGTTTTCTGGTAAGTAACTGGTGTTCCTCACTAAAATCCCGTCCATACATGTTTCAAAGAAAGAAAATGCTCAGCAGCGCTGGACAGGAGCTGTGACCACAGCACAGGAGTTACATTCTCCACCAGAAGAGCAGAGGAGAGGAACACATCTTCACACCTGAACTCTCAGGTTTATTTTCTTAGGCAAATATCTTTATAACTAAGAGTGTTTGCCGCTGAAAGGCCAGCCGGAATCGTGACGAAATAGTGTGGGTCCCGGTGGGGAGCCAGGCCAGGAAGAGCAGGGTAACAGCTTTCAGAAGTCCGCTTCCAGATCTCCCGGTGACGGAGAGTTGAAAGTTGGGCTGTTCATTTTATCCCTCACGTTTCCTCTCTAATTTATTTACTAGTTTACCTTCGACTCAAGAGAATGCTTTGGAGATTTTTGTTTTGGAGAATATTTTTAGTTATGCATCTTGAAAATAGTTTTCCAGTTAAAAGAATAAAATATAAGACACAATTTTCAGCCCTAAGGAATTAAATAACATATTTTCCAGTTTTGAAACACAGTTGTTTTTTGAGATAATATAAAAAAAACTAATATCCTTCTCCCCCTTTTGTAGGGGCTTATTTCTGTTGCTTTGACGAAAATTTCTGAAAATGAAGGCTTTATTCCAATAAACAAAAATCTGTGGTAGGTACAGAAAACAGAGTAATTTTAATGTTGGGTCGATCTTGCTGATGCTGGATGCACTCCTCAGGAGCCCTGAAACACCTCATTCGCCTTGTAGGTCCATTTCGTATGTCACCACACTGAGCTCCTTTGCCTTCTTCATCCTGCTTATCCTATACCCCATTGTAGATGTGAAGAGACTGTGGACGGGAACCCCATTCTTCTACCCAGGTAAACAAACCTCTAAGCTTGGAGTTGATTTGAAAGATTATTTATTTGAGAGAGAGAGAGAGCATGTGCATGCAGGGTGGGGAGGGGCAGAAGGAGAGAGGGAGAGACTGAGAGAGAAAATCTCCAGCAGACTCCACACTGAGCGTAGATCCCTCCTCGGGGCCAGATCCCAGGACCCTGTGATCATGACCTGAGCCAAAACCAAGAGTCAGATGCTTAACCGACTGAGCCACCTAGGCGCCCTAGACCCAGTCATTTCAGTGACTCACTTCAGCCCTCTGATTCTAGTGACAGTTACATTTTTCTGACCTCAAGTTTCTGGTCTAGAAAAGAAAAGTTCATGATTTTGGCTCTCCTTATAGATTTACTATTCAAGAATTACATCACTATAAATATGTTCTAATTTTTGTTCTAGCTTATACTTAAGTATTTAAGATATGTGTTACTTATTTTTGGCAGTAGCCAATAATATAAGTGTGTGCTTTTCGTTTTTTTCATTGGACTAAAGTCAAATTTCAAGAATTAAATAGATGATCAGATGTGACTCAGGAAAATATTATTTTCTTTCTCTCTCCTCCAGGAATGAACTCTATTCTAGTGTACGTTGGCCACGAGGTGTTTGAGAACTACTTCCCCTTTCAGTGGAAGCTGCAGGACAACCAGTCACACAAAGAGCATCTAACTCAGAACATAGTCGCCACTGCTATTTGGGTGCTCATTGCCTACATTCTCTATAAAAAGAAGATTTTTTGGAAAATCTGACAGCTCCAGCTGAAATGTGTTGCTGGCAGACTCTAGTGGGCCTGGGGGGAGTGCTGAAGCAGCCTTTATTAAAGGGAACCATGAATTATAAAATCAGTAGGATGCGTATTTCCCAATGATTGGGGAACATGCTGATGCGCTCTGGCTGGTGTACTATGACGTGGCTGTTCATCAGAACTCTGTGTCTTTGAGACTTAGATGTTTGGAATATAATTGTCTTTTTTCTCCACCTTCTATGTAAATGGATATATTTAGAACTTCATTTTAAGGATTCCTCATTTAACTCTTCAAAAGGAAACTGCCATGGGCATTTTCCTTCTGTGACGGATAAAACAATCTAAAGTCTAATTTTTATTGATCTTGTTTTCCTGTAGCCTGTCTTTCCAAGTGCACACATGCCAACCAAGAAGACCGTCATTTCTGTTGTGGCTGATCAGATGGGATGTGTAGCGATGCAGCCTAATATTTTTTGTGGTTAAGTGCAGTATAATATTTCAAGAAAGAGTAATTTCCTTTTCACATCTGCAAGGCATTGGTGGGTCCAAAAAATGCCTTTCTATTGGCAGGCATTCTCTCCTTTTCCCCATTTGGAAAAGAAGTTAAAATAGAGATGTGTTATTCCCAGCCACTCTTGCTTACAGTTACAATACTCACGTACCTGTTCGGCTGTGTACCCACTTGTCTGTCTTTCTCACTGTGTGTCTGGACGGTGGCTGGCACCCAGGGCTGTAGTGTGGCAGAGAAAAGCACAGTCTTGCTTGTGACGCCAGCTTTGCTCTCCTTGCCGCGTGAGATGTCTGCCAGTCCCGTGGCCTCGCTGGGCCGCAGTTCCCTCGTCTGTGAAATGAGGGAGACAGTGATGCCTCTCTGGTTCCTTCCAGCTCTTCGGCTCATTGAGGTGGGATACATCAAGAGCTTTTCTGAAATCCTTAGGAAAATAATTTTATTACAGAAAACTCTTCAAAATAAATGATAACGAGAAGGTTAAAAAACCCCACCTGTCATTGGAGTCGGTCTTTTCAGAGTGGCCCTCCACTGTGGAGGCACTTCCCTGTGGGCATCACAAAACTGAAGAAGTAGTCTCTCAGGAGCGAAGACAGGAGAACATGCAAAGAGAAGCAGCACTCCTCATAGGACGCGTCATCATGCTTGACGATCTTTCTGTGAGAACTCTGTATGCAGAACAGGCGGAACGTTGTACGTGGGCTGAAACCCTTCCGCGCTGAGACGGGGCCGCCTGCACGTGGCTTCCGCCGTCACCACAGCACCGACGACTCTCTGGCCTGTGTGGGCCTCGGCCCCGAACCCTCAGCCCCACGCGTCATTGCCCGCGGGACCCTCCGCGCAGACGCCCGCCGGCACGCCGGCACCCCGTCACCCCGTCTTCCCGCCTCTCTTCCCAAATTCAGACTTTCCCTCTGCATTTTCCTAGCTCCGTGAATGGCTCCTTCTCTGTCTCTAGCTGTGAAACCTTTCACTCACCTTACCCCCTCCATGCCCCCTTTTCCATGCTTCCACCTGAAGCTCCTGCCTTCTTGCTGCCGCGGCCTTGTCGCCCTAGTCCGGCCTCCGCCCCTCAGTCCTTCCTCTGAGAAGTCACTACCCGTCGCCTCCAGGTTAAGCTTTATGCAGCAAGAGCTCGGGTAAGAGCCCCTCCATACAAAAGCTTCCCTCAAAGTTATGTAATAACCACCCTCCGGGGCGCCGGACACGTCTTCCGGCTGCTT